CGAAGAATATTGAAAGTACCATGGACTGGCACAAGAACCCACAAATGTGTTGTAGGAAAAAATTACAGACTGAATGCCCCTTAGAGGCAAGGACGATGAGACTTTGTCTCATTTACTCTGGACGTGTTTTCCAGAGAAGTCAGTTGCTGAACACAGACATCATGCTTGGTAAAATAGAGACGCAGAGAAGAGGAGGGCCTTCGGAGAGATGGATTGACACAGTGGATGCAACAAAGGACTCAAACACAAGAACAATTGCAAGGATGGTGCAGCATGGGGAGGTGTTTTGTTCTGCTGTACACTGGGTCTCTGAGTCAGAAATGAGTCGTTGGCGCGTACCAACAACAACATGCCACTGGAAAGAAAAGGAAGAAAGCTTCCTAGAAACTTCCAGGAAGCTTTTCTACTAGTAGCTCTTTGATCTGAACCTAATAACCTGAACTCATCCATCCCAGATGAAGCTCAGGAATGTCATGTGTATTTTTGCATACGTGTTTTCTGTTAACACTTGGAGTTTCTATTAGTGGAGGCCTAAGGGAGAATGAATAAACAACTATCAAACTGCCCGGGGTTCCTCTCTGGCCCCCACAGGATGTTGCATGTGGGGTTTCTGAGCTTGTGTAAATTCCTTTCCTTCCACACCACACTGTTCTCTCTCCTGAGAGAACTCACACTGTGCTCACCCTATCTCTTAATCTACCCAAGAACCTTATTCTAAGAGATTCAAACACATGTCTCCAAAGAGAAAGGCGAGGAGCAACTAGTAAAAGACCAATCGACCTTCACTACTAAAGCTACTGAGTACCAAGGATTTTAATAGAAGGATCTGAGCCAAATTCTAAGCCTCTGCTTGTATATTTCCTATCTAATTGAGACCACAGTCGGTTTTAATTGAACATAAAACCTCCTGTTTGATCCTAAGGAGTGTTTTCATTTGCTATTAAGTGGATTTTGGACTTCTTCCCAAAGGAAACCACTACACTTTTGTAATAGTTGCAATACTACTTTGTTCAATTTTTAGAAATATCTAGAATTTTTCATATTCTTTAGGAAGATACTAGCCTCTGTATACAATAGATTCTGTGATTTAAATACATATTTAAACTTAAAACACTGCCCTGATTAGCTAGGCAGTTGTTCTCACACTGCATAGAACACTACAGGCTTCAAAGTGATATTTCAGGAAATATATATAGACCAAAGTAAGCAAATCCTGATACCACCCACATCCCATATGTTACCTATATTTTATATATTAAGCTTCTATTCAAGCCATTGTTTTAAAAAAAAGGCTTTGACTACATTCATGGATTGAACTGTGTCCCTTTTCTAAATATTCATTGGAATCCCACCCCAAACCTTTTGGATATATGCCTGTTTAGGAATAGAATTTTTCTATGCAGCGTGGAGGAAGAATAGATTCCATGAAAAGATGTCCAAGAATCCAAGGAAGGCAGGAGCTATGAAAGCAAAACAAGACATTGATCTTTCCCCAGAGCTGACAATGAGCCTTCCTCTGTAGCTGGTACCCTGAATTCAGGGTTCCAGTCTTCTAAACTGTGAGAAAATAAATTTCAGCTCCTTAAAGCTACTCCCTTGTGAAACTTCTATTGGAGCAGCACTGGCTAAAACAATTACTTTCACATAGCTGTCCTTATAGCTCCCCAACTCTACTTTTATCCCTCATGGATTTGTTTCAGGGAAAGACTACAACCTTGAAGCTCCTAAATCATTCAAAACACTGCTGCTTGTTTTTGTTAGGTGCAGTCAAGTTCATTCTGACTCAGAGCGACCCTGTGAGCGACAGAAGGAAACACTGCCAGCCCTGCACCGTTCTCCCACGTCGTTTTATGGCTGAGCCCATTGTTGCAGCCACTGTGTCAGCCCATCTCATCTAGGATCGTCCTCTTTCTCACTGCCCCTCCACTTTTCCAAACACGATGTCCTTTTCTAAGGGCTAGTCTCTCCTGATAATATGTCCCTTATCAGGAGTACATGAGACAAGCCTGGCCATCTCTGCTGCCAAGGTGCAATCTGGCTGTACTTATTGGTTCTGCTGGCAGTCCATGGTACTTAATCACGATAGAACAAGGGTTCCTTTTATCTTCATTAGCGAGTTTATGTTAGTATTTTTGTCTCAACCTAAAAGGGCAAGTCAAAAAAGCATTGCTACTATGGTTCCAGTTCGTAATGTATGGGTTTATTCCAAAGAAAACTTATTAAATATGTCTGTGAAATCAGTGGATCACTTCAAATAACTTTTCTCAATTACACTCACTTAGTCTTGTTATGCCTTTGGATAAAAAAAGTTTTGTACCTTGGTAAAAAGTTATTTTGAGTCAGGGTTAATATCTAATTTTTAACAAAACTCACGAGGACATCTTCTCAAAATCTTTGAAGCTTCACAACATGTTAACAGAAATGTTGTCTCACATGAAAAGACGGTTTTAGATGAATCGATTGTTTAAGGGAGACCTCAAAGAGTTGAGAGAAGGAAGACTGATGATCTCAGTGACTAAAGAAACTATAACGTAAGTCCAGAGACTGGTGGAAGAAAGTCATAGAATTAACTTGAAGATGTAGCTACTGGTGTGGGGATCTGACATGGTTTAGTATTTTCAATTTTCAGTGAACAATTTGGGCTCATTCAGCTTTTGTCTCAATCAGTGTCAAAGGCATTGCACAAAGAGCAGCTAGCTCAGAGAGCTGATCTTTCATCACCCATTTAAGCAAGATGGAAGTTAAGGAAGATGATTTCATGGAATGCATCATAACTAGAGGTGAGTCTTGAATTTACCAATACAATTCAGAGAACAAGATCTCATCAAAACAATGAGGTGTAGAAGGGATCAGTTATCAGACATCAAAGAACTGAAAATTACATTAGTGGGTGCCCGCTTTACTGACACAATCACTGAAGACAAACGTGTGCATTAGCAAATGTGGTGAAGAATGCTGATGTTGCCAGGCTATCAAAAGATATAGTGTCTGGGTCTTAAAGGCTTGAAGATAAACAAGCGGCCATCTAGCTCAGAAGCATCAAAGCCCACATAGAAGTAGCACACCAGCCTATCTGACTACAAGGTGCAAAAGGGACCAGTTATCAGATATCAAAGGACTAAAAATCAGATCAGTGGGTGCACACCTTCCCGATATGATCACTGAAGACAAACGTGTGCACAAGCAAAAGTGGTGAAGAATGCTGATGTTGCCAGGCTATCAAGAGATATAGCGTCTGGGGTCTTAAAGGCTTGAAGATAAACAAGTGGCCAAGTAGCTCAGAAACAACAAAGCCCACATGGAAGAAACACAACAGCATGCGTGACCACGAGCTGTCAAAGGGATCAGCTATCAAGCATCAAAGAACAAAAAAATATCATTGTAAAGGTGGGTGAGTACAGAGTGGAGACTCAAAGCCCATCGGTAGGCAACTCGCTAAAGGGTTGAGGGGAGGAGACGAGCCCATCAGGGTACAGGGTAAGAACGATGAAACATATAACTTTTCTCTAGTTCTTAAATGCCCCCCCAACTATCGTGATCCCAATTCTACCTTACAAATGACTAGACCAGAGGATGTACACTGGTACAGATAGCAACTGGAAACACAGGGAATCCAGGACAGGTGACTCCTTCAGGACCAGTGGTGAAAGGGGCGAGGCCTGGAGGGTGAAGGGAATGTGGGGTGGAACAGGGGAACCGATTACAAGAATCTAGGTATTGCCTCCTCCCTGGGGGAGGGACAGCAGAGAAGAGGGTGGGGGGAGACGTCGGACAGTGTAACTTATGACAAAACTACAATAAGTTGTAAATTATGAAGGGTTCATGAGGGAGGGGGGTGAGGGGGAATGAGCAACTGATATTAAGGGCTGAGGTGGAGGGCAAATATTTTGAGAATGATGAGGGCAGCGAATGTACAAATGTGCTTGACACAATGGATGGATGTATGGATTGTGATAAGGATTGTATGAGCCCCCAATAAAATGTTTTTAAAAAGAAAGAAAAAAAAACAGTGGTTTCCATGGGATTTGCTTAACCAATTAAATTCAAGGTAGAGAGGCTAGCTAAGATTATAGACACTTTTTTTCCACAAGGAGCCTTGTAGCATAATGGTTACATATTGGGCTGATAACTGCACGGCCAACAGTTTAAAACTACTTACTGCTCCAGTGGATAAAGATGAGACTCTCCACTCCCCTAAGACTTAAAGTCTAAAACCCACAGCAACAGTGGCGTTGTATCCTGTCCGGCCACTTTGAGCTGTAACCAACTCCATAGCGGTGAATTTGTTGATTTTATTTTCAAGGGATATTCTTGGTAGATCACCTTGAAGGACCTATTACAATAATAAAGGGTTATTAGGAAGAAGTTTTAAGAAATTTGAAAGCAGCGTTACTGAGAAAAGGGCCACGGAAGCTGTGGGTGGAGGAATGTGTTTCCATCCTGACAAAGCACGCGCTCATTCTTGTCTGCCAGGGGGCCACACTACCCTGAGAATGCTGTTGGGAAATTGTCCCCCTCTACCCTACAGCCCTCATCTTTCCCTTTCATACTTCTTTTTGTTCCCCAAACTTGAGAATGCTTCAAGGGGCACGTGGTTGGATAATAAATCTGCATCCTGCTGTGGAATAAACCACAGAGTGTAGACTTATCCGTGGCAGGACCAGAGAGAGGGAAAGATGCACCTCTGTCAGAGTGCACACCCCCATGGAGGATAGGTCAAGAAATAATAGCTTCACATTTTGATATTTTTTAATTAATAGAGGTTCATGTGATTTTGTAGAAATACTTTCTGACCCTCACATGTACATAGCTTAGATTACACTTTCTTTTTACTTTTTAACCATTTAAGTTTTGCTTTTTAATGTTTACTATTTTCATGTGTGAATGTAAATACAGCCCGAGAACACTGAATTCACCTATCTTGGTCAACATACAAAGGCAGAGAGGAAATGAGGACTATTTGACAAAAAGTCTGGTAAATTTGCATAATGCAGCTTCATCACAACTTTATTGTTTGTTTTCAGCAAATATTCCATGGGGATTGAAAAATGTGGTAGTATTTGTAGTCTTATTTTGAATGTTCCTTCCTTTCTTTCTAGTTGATAAACTACTCAAGTAATAATCACATCTCTAAAGAAATAGTTAAGCAAATTATTCTAAATAAAATATTCTAAGAATTTATTTCTTTCAGCATCCGTTTCTTCATTTTCCAACTCATATTTCTTCATGGCAACAAAATACCGAATAAAGGTTTCTCCTAGAGCCTCTTTCAGACATTGATCTTCCTCTAGTGCCACCAGGGCATCTTCCAATTTCAAAGGGATCTCGGAAGGTTTTGACAGGCAAAGGTCTGTGCCGTCATCTGGATCAGTCAAGGCATCGTCAGGGCTTTGAAGTCCATCCAAGCCTGCAGCAATCGTTGCAGCCAACACCAGGTAAGGATTTGCTGTCGCTGAGCCTAGTTTATTTTCTATCCTGGTCCCTTTCTCACCGTGACACTTGATGTTGAAAGCACAGCTGTTATCGTTGTATCCCCATGTTGCAGGCACACTCTCCTTCCGGGCTTGACTCTCCTTGGAATAACGCTTCCGGCAGCTGGCAGCAGGGGCCAGCAAGCAGCTGAGAGCTGCAGAGTGCTGCAAGAGTCCTGCCAACCACTTTTTCCCAGGGACCGTAAGCTGTTCGACTCTGGAGCTGCTGCAGAACACATTTTGCTTTCCACTGACATCCCACAGACTGTGAGACAAAATTCCCGAATTGCATAATCCAGTCTCGATGAAAAAGCTGGCGATGTAATTATATTTCCTTGCCACTTCTTTCACAGCCGTTCTTAGGGTAAATGCATTATCGGCTGCACGGATGCCAAATTCTGGCAGAAAACAGATTTCTGTCTGACCAGGTCTGGTAGAGAAGGAAAAGCTCTCAACATTTGCTCCAGTCTGATACAAGTCATCCACGAGTTCCTGCATAAAGGGCTCATCGTGGCTCATTAGTAATGGTGAAGCAGAAAAAGCTATGGTATTGGATTTGATCATTTCAGGCACACAAATCATGCAAAAGTCATAGATGAAGGCAGAAAGCAGGGAAAAGCCGGCGTTCTCCAGCTGGCTGAGCTGCTTCTTTGCGATGTACCTTGGAGATGTCACCAGAGGCCCACCAGTCACAGTGAAAGTATCACATATCACTCTCGCAGTTCTCTCAGCCCAGGGCAGGACTCGGAAGGTGGACAGCTCCGGTATCAGGACGATGTCACTATTAAAACATGTTGCTCGTATGTGATTGACTTCATTGTTTTTAGGGTTCGGCATCAATTCAAGATAACCTCGAGGCATGTAAACTCCATGAATCACTTTTTCCTAAAGAGAAAAGGACGGAGAACTTGGTTTTGAAATGAGAAAACAAAACACATTGAGCAGAGCTTTTCTAAACACACAAAAAATCTGTTGGTTGACAGTACTTTATGAGGTACTGTTTACAATTATTTTAAAGTCAAACCCTCAAGGCATTTTTATAAACAGCTGTTAATATTTTTAACCTTCTAGGTTTTATGTGCTATGAGAGGTAAAATATGGCAATCATAAATTATATACGCACTATATATAATAACACACCTAATAATGTATGATATAATATTATATATGTAATATATAATCGGTGATATATAATAATTTATTGCATTATGTTTGACACATAATAATAAAATATCTTCCCTTCAATAAACTAAAGAAAAGCTTTATGAAATTATTCCAAATTATCATAAGCAAATATACTCTTTAAAGCACTACATATGTGATGATATAGTTGCTAAGGCTATGGTTTTATTTGAGGTTCGTTCACTGCAAGCCCAGTAGGTAATAGACTCTCTGAAGTTGGCCGTAAAGAATCTTCAATCCCTCTCAGTGAGCCAACTGGAACCAGTCCTATGACCCCCAGGACAGTTGTCATAATACCAAAGGACTCAGATCTGCGGACAGCGGCAGTCCTCTCTTCATTCACTTTTACAGCCCACTTACAAATTAACCACCTCACTGTCTTACGGAGTCTCAGAAACCTTGCCTGTAATGTGGACCCTTATCTCCTAAGTTATAACTTCTAAAATTCTATCCTTCACATCAGCATGAACTAGACGTCAGCAATATAACTTCTAGTCCTGGTTATTTTATGAGTTATCCTTGTGGAGTTGAGCAAGTTGTTTGGACTCTGTTTGCCTTACCTTCCATCTCTGAAAATGTTAGATGATTGAAAAGGTGCCAAATACTTTTCTAGTCTTATACCGCCAGGGTTCAATTGATTTATTTAACTTTTGCTGGGTGACAGCATAAAAGTATTAAGATTGTAAAACTGAACAGATCCATAAAACAAATTCAAGAAACCACCTAATAGGGACATTAACAAAGTTTCATGTTTGGGGGGTTGCGGGGGAGTCCCAACTATAAGTTTGGTCCTCACGATGTTGGTGCTCACCATGAACTAAATAAAACCTCCTACAAGCCTGCCGTTTCAGTATGTTGCTTCAAAATCCCCAAAAGAGCGTGGCTACCAAAGCCCAGTTAGTTTTCAAAGGTCAAGTACTAGTCTACCTTCCTCGCGTTGGTCATGAGACATTGTCTCCTTCACTCTCCACCATCTCACTTTGCATTTTGACTTGCCATGTTAACTTAGCCAGTCCAACACTATGCTTACCGGTAATAAAGTTGTGTGAGTCTTGCAAAAATCTTTTCATTCCAATTTTCACAGTAAGAAATAAGACATTTTTCTACTTGACAATTTTTGGTTTGAAATTATGTTTGTTACATCTGTGTGTATCTAAAATGAGAGATATTGTGTTTTATTCATAAGACTTTTAGAATTCCTGTAATTTAAATATTTTACATATTTGTTTGGTTGTAAACAGCTGGGTTTCATTACATTCTAATAGTCCTTCATGAATTGGAAACTAATATAAAGGCACACTTTACCCTCCAGGCTATTTAATTCACATTTCTCAGAGCATGCTTTTCTAGCACTGTAATACTCTTCAATCTTGTTTGTTGTTGTTGTTGTTGTTGTGTGTTTGGTTCATTCTGAATTCAATATAATTTTTTTTAATTGTGACAAATGTATAAACATATGTGAGCATAATGTATTCATAAGAATCAATTGTTACCTAATGTATTATAGATATGCCATACTGGAATAACTTGCTGTTGACTCGAAACTAGAAGAATAGCACAAATCTCTATGAAAACTGAAGATAGGCTGGATGAGCAATCTGGAGGAGAAAACAACGGGACCGACAGTTCCAAGGGTACATGTGAAGGGGGAGGTGAGGGGAAAGGAAGTGGTATTAACAAACCCAGGGACACAGGAACAACAAGTGATCCAAATTGATGGTGAGGTGGGTGTGGGAGGCCTGGTAGGGCATGATCAAGGGTAATGTAACAAAGAGGAATTGCTGAAACCCTG